ATGGTCATAGGGAAAACCATGGCTTGTATGATTCTAACTTTGGTGCTCAGTAAACGCATACAATCCTTGGAGAGCCTTCGCAGGTTGTAGCAAACAAGCAATTGAGGCTTGCAAACTGTAGCAAGCCGGTAGTGCCCAACTTGATGAAGTTGAGATTTGCAGAGCCCTTTCCTCTCATCTGGAACGGAGTTCCCCAAAACTGGAGCATTTCTCCCCCTCGCCTCCTCCCTGGAGATGACCCATGAAAACTGTAGACCCAGGGCCTGGCAACCCTATGGAGAGATAACTTCTTGTTGTTTTGTGCAAAAACATTTCTGACCTGATCAGGATTGAAACCCTGGCCTCCAGAGTCGTAGTCCAACGCTCAGACCACTACACCGCACTGGCTGTCATACAAATAATATTTATTATTAATTAATAATAGTGTTAATATAGATTCTTTAATTAAATATACATTCCACCCTGCAGCATCAGCAAGACCCACCGTCTGTTTCCTTGCGTTTTTATTTTACTCAGCTCCTGACATAATGCGCAAAACATTGGTGACCAAGCAAAAACATCAAGCGATTCAGGAAAAGAAATTAGGAAGAAGTTTGACAGTGGAAGAAGCTCTCTTGGAGGGTGATGGAGTCTCCTTCTTTGGGGGTTTATAGGGGATGGATGGCCATTTGTGGGGAGTGCTTTGATGGTGTGTTCCTGCATGGCAGGTTGGGGTTGGATGGATGACCCTTGGGGGTCCCTTCCAGCTCTGTGTTTCTATGATTCTAAGTAAGCCACACCATTTTCCTGAAGCGCTGAGCCCTGAGCCTGTGAAGAACCTCCTGGAGCAATCGCACTTGTTGAACTACTGATAATCCAGCTCTGCTGAGTAGCTCAGGTAGCATTGCCCAAGTGTGCCAGCAACTTGCCCCCTTGAGATCAAGGCAAGCAAAGTGGCCAATGCTCCCGGAGTCAAATGCCGGTTTGTGAGCTGATCCTGGGAGGAAGAGAATGGGAGCCAAATCACCTCCTGATGAGAAGTACTCTCCAAGGAGACAGGCTCCTTCCATCATTTCCTGACGAATGGGTTCCTACAGAAGGCTCAATAGGAGAGAGATGAATGGCTTCCCATCCCTGCCAAGAAGCTAATCGCCTCTCACTATAGATCTGTCCGGACAGCCATGCTTCTCATCTGAGTGCATTTTATCCATGTGTTCAGGCCTATTCCAGCATCAGGGGAAGTTGTGAAACCTAAGCAGCAATGAAGTAGGATCATACCCTCCAAGCATCCCAGTTTGGCAGAGGGACTCCCAATTAATCCTCTGCCTTCCCACTTTTTCAACTGCTTTTAAAATGTCCCAGTTTCTCTCTCTTCCTCCTTCATTCTCCCTTTGTCCTCAGCTTACATCTGTTGCTGCAAACCCAGTTCAAAGTGCAAAAGTAGTTTGCACACAAATAACTCAGCAGGGGAGAGAGGAGAGGAATGGGCAGGATTTTCCCCCCTTCCCAGTTGGCTCTGGAAAAAGCAAACTGCTGTAGCCGATCCTAGGTTGGGTGTGTTTCTTCACTAATAACTTTTGCAATCTTTTTTATTTTTATTTTCTTTAATTTTGAAATAGAATATAAAACACATGCTTACACAAAGCAGAAAAAGAAAAATTCACACAAAACACTGAGTGCGTGTTATCTTCACATTTTAGATTAATGTTCATCTTTTGCATTCTTGACTTCCTAATAAAATGATAGTCTGATGCCACCCAAAATTTTCTCGATATCTGACGTAATCCTCTTGAACCTAATAGCATTTACTTCTCAACATTCCTTGCTTAGTTATTTCCATATTTATTCTAATAATAATAAAATCTTAGGCTACCATCCTCTTTCTCTCGGTTATTTACTATTATTTTATTGACTTATATCCTGTCTTTCTCCTAATATAGGAAATCAAGATGGTGAAGTTGCAGTCTTAAAGATGCTACAAGTTCCCTTTGCATATTGATCCAGACCAACATGGCTGTGGCTTTGAATTTTCTTGAATCCCCACTCAGCCATGGAAACTCCTTGGGTGACCTTGGTCAGGTCACACTCTCTCAGCCTCAGAGGATGGCAAAGGCAGACCTCCTCTGAACAATTCTGGACAGGAAACCCCTTTTAAAAAGAGAGCCAATGTGGTATGGTGGTTTGAGCATTAGACTACGACTCTGGTGACCAGGGTTCGAATCCCCACTTGGCCATGGAAACCCATTGGACAAGTCATACTCTCTCAGCCTCCAAAGATGGCAAAGGCAAACCCCCTTTGAACAACTCTGGCCCAGAAAATCTCATGATAGGTTTGCATTAGGGTTGCTGCAAGTCAGAAAAGCCTGGAAGGCATGCGACAATAACAACAACAGCAAGGGAACAACAGTTGGATGGGATGAGTTTCATCTGACATTTGCAGCCGAATCTTTGGCTTCTAGGACCAATTCCTATGCGCTATAACTCTCTAACTCTTGTTCTTCTCTTTCTTGTGTGGGCAAAGCAATGGCGTGCTCCCAACCTTCGCCCTGCCTAGGAATATGCAGATCCTATTGACTTCTGCTGAGGTCAGTGTCTAAATTTATTGACCCAAGACAGGAATATTGACAGGAGATGAAGCCGAGGTCAATGAGTAACCCTCCAGGGGCCATAAATTTTGGTATTGACTCCTGGAACAGAAGTCAATAAATGAATGGTTAATATAAACATTGTCTTACAAAAATTAATTCCCAGCGACATGGGTTTTGCGTGCAATTTTTATGGTGAAATATGAAGTTGGTTGTCAGTCATGTCTGAGGAATGGGAGAAAGTATCTGATTATGGTCAGTAATGAAATTGTCGGAGGGTGGGAAAAGAGAGAGCGGTGTCCAGCTTATAATTTAATTTAATCCGATCTCCCGGATGGATGTTTTGGTTGTTGATTGGTCTCAGCTGGGAAGAAAAATATTTTCAGTTCATGGGAACACTGTTCCTGCTACTATTTTTGAAGGACTGATGATCGCTAACAGTGTTCTGGTTGCTATACAAATCACAAAGTCTGGGGAAAGATTATTCATTGTATGAGAACATAAGGACATCCAGGTTGGGAACGGTCAAAGGACTATCTAGTCCAACATCCTTTGTACAAGCGGCCCAGCGTCAGGACTTGAATGCAACCTCCATCTTGCGTTCCTCAGCATCTTTGTCTAGATTGATGGAAGTGACTAGCAAAGTGCCCTGGCCCCAAAATCTTCATCAATTATTTTGATTATGGAATAGAGGATCTGCTTCTCAAATTTTCAGATGACACTAAATTAAGAGGGAAAGCTAATACCCCGGAGGACAGGAGGAAAATTCAAAATGATTAGAAAGCTGGGACAAAGCTAACGAAATGAATTTCAGCATGGAGAAATGTAAGGTACTGCACTTAAGGCAAAAAAAAATAAAAATAAAAAATGAAATGTATAGATATAAAATGGGGGACACCTGGCTTAAGGAGACTAGACATGTGAAAGGGATCTAGGAGTCCTAGTAAACCACAAGTTGAACATGGGTCAACAGTGTGATGTGGCAGCTAAAAAGGCCAGTGCGATTTTAGGCTGCATTAATAGAAGTATAATAAATCAAGGGAAGTCATAGAGCTACTGTATTCTACTTTGGTCAGGCCCCACCTGGAATAATCCTGTGTCCAGTTCTGGGCACCAGAATTCAAAAAAGATGTTGAAAAACTGGAGCATAGAATCATAGAGTTGAAAGAGACCACAAGGGCCATCCAGTCCA